CTCCCACTCCCTAGCCACTTACCGCTGCCAGATCTTTTTTGAATTGCTTTTGTCTAAACAAATTGCAAAATCTAGAGATGAACTCAAGCCCACAGTCGCTGAATCTATGATCCTGGAGCTGGATCTTAATGGGAAGACAACACCCTAGTTCAATGGGCATCATCTATGACTCCTTCAGCTCTTCCCAAGGCCCCTCCCCACAAAAAAAGCCTTTTGATTTGCCCACCCCACATCCTTTGGTGTCAATAGCTCCTTGTTTTCCCTGGTAGGAGTTTAGGCACTGAAGTGTCAGACTAATGTGTTCCCTGGCTGACCTCTTCCTGACCCAGAACTGTGTTCAGAGTTCCTTACGTTCCTACCCCAAGCATGATTGACAAGGGCTGGACAGAGGAATAATTTGCAATCTGTGAGAGGCAGGGGATCATGTCAGGATAAGGCTCTGTACCTCATGCCCAGTCCTCTGTCTCCAAGCTTCACAACAGCTTGAAGGGCCATGGCCACCAGAGCTGGTCATGGAGGTCACCAGTGACATCTAGTGGCTGCAGCCAGATGTCACAAGTTGGGAGTTGTGTTTGGCTCTGGGACCAGACTACCAGGGTGCTCCTGCATACTGCAGACAGGCCTCTGACTTCTCCAGGGCTCTGGAACAGCATCATGGGGCAGGACTATGGTTGTTAGACTGGAGAATGGAGGTCTGGACAGGCACCAGGCTGCTCATTGCCGACAGCAGCTTTGTTCTTCCCTGATCTCTCCCATCTGTAAGCCTCTGGGCTCCTGCAATCACAGAAGATCTCACAGAGTGCCCAAAAGAGTTGCCTGGTAGGCTGGTGGAGTGCAGAGCAGCCTCAAGGGACCTCTCCTGTGACAGCTACAAAAGACAGGACAGGGTAAGCCTGAGGGTGGGCTTTGCCACAGGGCCGAGGACTTGTTGTTAGTAGTTCTGGGCTCTCCTGGCCCTCCAAGGGGACAAACACATCATGGTGCTTGAGACATGCTCCTGAGTGGTGAGGTTCCCCGAGAGGTGGAGGCAGCAGGGAGGACCAGGAACCAAAGACGGTAGGCTCTCAGCCCCACCCTGGAAAAAACGGCTTCCGGGATGGATCCCGCTTCCTCCTGCAACCTTTCCCATGAACTTTCTCCACTCTAAGAGAGGAGAAAAGGATGATGTCTTCTCAGAGTAGCAGCCTGCCTCAGTGTTTGTTATACTTCACACCATCTGCCTCTTCCTGCCCCTATACCTCCCTGGCCCTGGGGCTGCTCCCTGGCCCGCTACCTCCCCCCCCCCCTTGCCAAGGATTTCCTCTGCTGGCTTTCTTATGCCTGTCCTCTTCCCTCTGCCTCTGGCTGTTTCTATGTCTTCTTGCTTGGACTCTCATCCCTGGCACTCTCTACAAGGCCAGGCTGACATCATTTAAACGCAATAACACTTTGTTGGGAGGGGGGTGTCAGGTGAACAGAGATCATAACTAATCTCATCGGCCCTTTATTCAACATCAGAGAGGTGGCAGCATCGAATTCCCTGCACCCCGGAGCCCTCTCAGTTGTCACTAACTTTCCCGATCGCCTCATCTTCCCCTCTGAGCTAGGCCACAATACAGAAGACTCCCTTCCCACCCACCTGTACAGATAGGAGGATGTGGGGGAGGGGGCACTGCGATCATATCTCCAGGTACCGTGGGCTCTTTCCTCACCGTTACAGGAGTGACAATAGAAACTCCTATTTCTACCCTTAAATTGAATTCTACCTTTAGTATCTCTGTGGGTCAGATGCTGTGAGTTTGCATCTCAACTTCAGAAGGATGCTGGGAAGTGTCAGGATAAGGCACACCTATTGCCTAGAGGTGCAGAATGAGATCTGAGGACCGACCCAGCTAAAGGCAGGCCCCAGGCCAGCTGATGTACAACAGGTCTAAATTTACAATTGCCAAGATTCAGTTAGGCCACCCAGGAGCACTGGATGATCACAGAGGCCTCGATGCTGAGGCCTGTCCAAGTCTTCTCTCATCCTGCCCATCTTCCCCTCAGACATTGCACTGGTTCCTAGTGATGCTAATAGCTCTGGCATCAGTCTTCAGAGAGATCTGAACCCATGCCTGTCCACATTCTCTGCACACATCCGTTCCTTTCACAAGTTATAAACCCAATCATTCCAGATGACTGTCCCCTCTAATTATGACAATCATTGTCTGATTTCGTGTTTTGGTTACACAATCATACTTTTTCATGTTAATTGCACAATTAATACAATTACACGAGGGGGAAACGTGGACTACTTCCTGGCTCCAAATGAAATCCTAGTGCCCAGATGGGTGCCTTTTTTGTCCCCTTTGGGAGAGGGCACGGGAGACTCCAGGGGCTGAGTTGTGACCATTTCTCTCAGCAGTTATGAATATCACTAATTCAGTTGTTACTGTCCTCATGGCCCCAAAGACTGTCCTATGTGCACCTGCTTACGCGTAGTCACCGGCAATGGAGACCTGACCTTGTGTTATGGCTTTCACGTGTTTCATTTTGGGGTGCCCAACCCAAGCGGCTATCTCCAGAGACCCAAGTCTCGGGCAGCTCAAGCCTGAATAAACAGGCTTTCAAAAGAGAGGTTAGGAGCAGGTGGCTGACATCATGTTCCTCCTCCATTCTCCCAGCTCCCTTGCTTCCCCCAGAAGCCCTGAGCCTAGGACAGACTACAAATTATTCTCTTCCCCATTGCACCTTCCACTGTCCCCTCTAAAGATCACTCAGATCTTGCCCTCCAGAAAACCCTTGTGGGTTAGTTAGTTCTACTGAGACATCTACCACAGGGTGACTCCAATTCTGTTTATCCATTGGTTTGTCCACCATGGGATCCTCCTCTTAAGGGACTGAGGACTATTGAATGGCCCTTCAGAAACTTTACACACCCCTCCCTTCATCTGTACAAATGCCTGTATCTCCACCATGGAGCCCACAGCCCCTCCTGTACTGTGTGTACACTTGCAAATTCAGACTTATTTCACGTCCACCTGGGAAACTGGTTGTTTAAATAAGTATTATAGAAGAGACTTTGGCAAAGCCTGATATCACTTTCTGATTTATTTTTCTATGTAATTTTGGATTTTTCTCTTTCTAGGGGAAGAGGCAGGGTGGGTAAGTGGCTGCAGGCAGGTTTGTCTTTCCACAGCCTAGGTACTTGGGTCCTGCATGACCCCGTGTGTCTAAACTGGATTTCTTCTACTAACAAATGTGTGTTTAGGGCCATCTGTAAATAAAGCTCAGTGTGCTGAAGGAATGGCCTATCACAATGGATGAGACTCAGTCCCTGCTTCAGAGGGAGAGGTGGGCATGTATATGCTGGGTATACTGACGAGCGTAGCAATGGTTGCACAAAGAGATGTAGGATTACCTTTGTCCAAGCCTGGGGAAAGCAGAGAACGCTTCATGGAGGAGGTGATTTTAAGGCTGGAAGGATTTGCAGGATGAGTTGGTGGGTTCAAACAGGGAAAGCAAGCAGGGACAAAGGCAGGTTAAGGCAGCTGGGGTAAAAGGTAAAAAGTGGGGAGGTGATGAGGTGCAGGTTATGATGGCCTTGGGGCTCAGGCCAGGAAAGCTTGTTTTCATTCCAAAAGCAAAGGAATTAAACTTAGAAGACTGATAGTGATTTTAGGACCATTCTTTTGGCTGTGGAATAATGAGTGGGTCCAAGATGGTAGGTGGACTGAGGAGATGAAAATGAGTTCAGAGCAGGGACTGTGGAGAGGTGAGAGCCTGAGTCACCGGTGGCAGTGGGGACCAGGGCAGAGGTGTACTCTGGAGAAATTTTTGGGGAGAGGGAGAACGACAAGAGGCTTAGTGGCTGGGGTGCCTGACTTTGAGTGTCATGCTGGTTAGGACCAGAATCTGGGTCATCTGTCAAGAGCGAGAATAAAGGAGCAGAAGAACAAGCGTAGGCTCTGGTCCTGGCACCAGTGGGTATTTCTTTGAGCTGCTGTTAGATGCTAAGGTGACAGGGTGAATGAAGGCTGAGCAACCCTGGGACAGGGCTGGGGTTGGGTGCTGTGGGAGGGCAGGCTTAGGAAGGCTGCGGTTATTGTCAACATTGTCACCCTCTGTAGAGTCAGGGCGGTGTGGAAGGACATGGAGGAAGGCATGGAGGGAGGAGGGAAGGGTGAGGAAAAGGAAGGGCTTGGGTGCTGGGAAGACCTGAGGGAGTCTCTGATGCGGCCAGTGTATCCATTAGGGATGTTAGCTCTTTTCTAGGCCTCTCACCTCTCGGCCAAGTCAGTACCATCCTTCTAGGCTTACATGTGACAACACCTGCAAAGGGTTTGGTCCAAGATCAACAATATGTTGCAGTCAAATTTGCCAAATGGGACACTCAAATGTCCAGCAAGCATCTGTTCCTTATGTGCCTCTGAGCCTGAGCGACTGCTCAATGCCTGGCAAGTTGATAGGTACTGAGTAGGTGTTTTAGGAGGCAAGGTGGACCAGCCTGAAAACACGGCTATGTGCCTCTTTCTGTAGGATTACATGAGCCTGTACATTCCCCTCCCGCAGGTAGGCATCATCAAAGTACCTTGTTATGGACAACACAGACACCATTTAGTGGCTCTGCTCTATCTTTCTGTGCTGTTGTTCCCGGAGGCTCCATGGTCTCTTCCGTGGATACCAAGAAAGTACCTGAGGCATGTGCTGAAAGAATTGTCAGACAGGCTGCCGTCATAGTGCCTTTTCCAGTTTTCTTTCTCTGTTCGGGTTCTCCTTTCTCCCAGGCCTACATTTTCTTTCCTGGTCATTTCTCCCCATCCTTCTCTTTTCTTATGTAGGAAAGATGCTCCTCTGATGTTCCTAGAGTTCTGCTTTGGAAATGAACCCTCCTGTAGCATTATGACATCACTGTGCATTAGCTAGTGGCTGCTCACGTGCACTGGGCCCTTGCCCTGCTAGGAGCAGTGGCCCTTTCATGACAGGGTCACCTATAGGGCCACTTTCAGAGCATGGATCCCTCCTGATTCCTCTCTGGCCCAATGCTCCTCACAGTCAAACTGCTCTTGGGCCGAAGATGCAGCCTAAAGGTATCTGGAAAAGAAAGCGTGGCCACACTGAAGAAGCTGGTCTCTCAGCACCTGCAGGTGCCAGAGGAGCAGCAGCACCTGCTGTTCCGAGGCCAGCTCCTGGCTGATGACAAATATCTCTCAGATTACAGCATTGGGCCCAACGCCTCCATCAATGTCATCGTGCGGCCTCGAGAGGACACAGCACTTGACAATGAAACCTATGAAACCCAGCCCCTGTGGCTCCACCTGAGCCAGGTACTAGGCAAACATTTTGGTCCCAAGGATGCCAAGGCAGTGCTGAGGTTGTTGAAGCAAGAGCATGAGGAGCGCCTGCAGAGGCTGAGCTTGGAGGCCCTGGAGCAGTTGGTGGGCCAATTCCTGGCACAGCAGCAGCTTGAAGAGCTGGCAGCAGAAAAGGAAGCTCCTGCTGTTACCTCAGAGCTTCAGCAAAGCAATGAAGGAGGAGGAATAGGAGAAAAGAAGGAGGAGGAGAAGGCTGAAGAGGAGGCTGGTTAGCAAACTGGCCCATCCTACTCTTTTGGTCACTAAACTTCCCCTGGACTGATCCTTTCATGTTCTTGGACCATTTTTCTCATTATTTTCTTCTGATGGAGATGTACTCATTTCCCTAGTTGAACCTTTAGCTGGAAGGTATCTGTATCCTTGACTGCAGGTCCCTATCTGAAGTGCAGAATGATTCTAACATCATCACTCTCTGCTACAAGGGTTCTGGATGGGCCAAGGTGCCCTATAGGGACAGTCAAAGTTCACACCAGCTTTGGGGGGAACATCTTTGCCCAAGCATGGCTCAGAGAAGTTCTCCATGGCTCTAGGCAGAGCCTCTTCTCCATCAGAACAGTGTGAGTACATTGTCCCTTCTCCTGGTGGAACCCAGACTCCCAATAGTATAGAGAAGAGGAAGGGCTATCATCTGCTGCTCTTGAACTCTTGGTGAGGCTTACCATGCTGTCCTTCTGCTTGTGCTTCCCATAGCTTCAGAGATGTGACAACAGGGATGGGAGTCAGGCAAAGTTATTGCATAGGCCAGTCTTGAGGCTTGCAGAAAGTCAGATCAAGTCCTAGAATGGCAAGGAACAGAGACCTAGGCAGAGAAAAAAAAGTCCACAAGTAGCACACTTCTGGGGCCAGCCTGAATAAAGCTATGTCCACTGCCACACTCTGACTAATCAAGGTAGCACTGAGGTCTTACTGCCCATTACTCCCATGGAGGAAAATAACAACAAAAACAAAAACAATACAGACAAGGTCCCCTGCCCTTGTACAACACCTAGCCTAGATGAGAGAGATACACAGGAAAATCAGAGACATGTTATTCCAGTAGAGCTCAGCCTGTGGCTGTGTGCCCTGGTACTTCTGCCTTGCAGAACGTGCCTATCGGAGTGAAGAGCGCAACCCTTAGACCAGAGCTGAGAAGCCCCATACTGTGTATGGATGGAGCAGGTTTAGGGTTGCCCATTGAGAACCATGGTCCTCCTTTTGCAGCTGAAGTCCCCAAAGTACTGTTCCTGCAGAAGTTTTAGCCATGGGGGTCAGAGATGGTGACTGTGGAGGGGGCAGGGGAAGATAGGTGCTTGGAAAAGAGGGAGCAAAAGTCCTATTTCTCTAGGAAGCACTCTGTCCTTGGCCTATAGGGCCCTCGACTTTCAGACTAGCACAACCAATATCTTGGCTGGTACCCTTCCCCTGGAGGATGCTGAGGGTTTCCACCTGTAGCATAATGTTCACTCACCCCAAAGACATAATGCAGGCAGGAGGTAAAGATGGCGTAGTTGGAAGCTGTGTTTTCTAGAAGTGGGCTCCACAGAAATGGCGGGAAGGGCCTGGGGACCCTCTGATCTAACAGCCTGCATTAGGTAGCATTGTTCTGTCATCTCTTAGCTAGAGACAACTTCACTTTGCTGATGGCACCCAGCTCTATGCTGTCTGATAAGGGAGAAGAGTAAGGACTCTATGGGTCTGAATGACTCTTCCCAGACTCACTGCCCACAGGTGGGGGTGGATTGCGCTCCACACTTCTCCAAAGTTCCTATTCTGGTCCCACTCTCATTCCTGGGCCATTTGCCATCTGCTGGGAGGTCTTGTGATGCTTCTGTGAATTCATTTGTGCTGGGGTTGTGCCACTTGCCAACGGGGACAAGCCTATTATCTTTACATTAGGGGAACTAATAGCCCATTTCCCAGGAAACCTTTGAGCGATAAAAGCAAGTGGGCCATTTTATTCTCCTTGCTGAGAGAAGCTGGCATGAAGGACAGGCAAAGCCTTTGTTTTCTCTGGCTAGTGCTAGTGGCAGAGGCAAGGTAAAGGTGAGCAGATTCCATGGTGAGCAGTTCAGGGGAGGATGTGTCCAGTCCCAAACTTAGAAGGACAAAAGTTGGTCCATCCTTCTACTCCATGTGTCTTCCTCCTCCTACTGATTCCATCCTTCCCATGGACCCACCTGCCCCTTCCCTCCTCAAAACTGAGCACCTGAAAGAATGTACCAACATACATGTAAAGATTGGTTAAAATAAATTGTTAACTTCCCTAGGGATGGTATCAGTCAATGCAGTGCCTCTTGTTATAGAGTTATGGGCTTTATTCCCTAAGAGGAGATAAAATCTGTAATGCATCATTAACATCATCATTAACGTGGACCAGGTCCTCAGCAGATACTGAATCTTCTACGTGAATCCTGCTGCATGTTGACAGAGCAGCTTTTGGGCCACCTGCCACCAGGACCTTCCGCTGTACTGGAGAGACTTTTGGTTCCCTACTCTGCGCCACCGCTTGTGTGTGGAGGTGGGGGTGGTGATAGGAATAGGGAATAAGCTCTTTCTGAACTTCAGCTTCGTGCCAATGGCTCTTTAACTCCCCACATCTTTTTTTCCTCTACGATGAAAGGCCACGCACACTACTAGAGGTAAAGGCCTTTCTCAAGTGGGGCACAGCTTGTGACAGCCAGGTTTGTGTTACTGTCCACAGAGAAACTGGACTCCCCATCCTAGCTCCCTCCTGGATGACCCACCTACGGTCCCAAATCCCTCTGTTTCCTGGCAAAACTATTTCTGATTGCAATAGGAGTGGCATCGTGGCCCTGTGTGCTATTGGCACCGTTCATTTATTTCATCAACAAACATTTTGGGGGCCTCTGTCACAGTTTCGTATCAGCTATATCAGGATACCTTAGGCTTGGGTAATTGTCTTTTGAAAAATCAATGCCCCCCTGCCCCATAGGCTCATGTGTTTGAACACTTAATCCCCAGTTGGTGACGTTACTTTGGAAGGTTGTGGGACTTTTAGAAAGTAGAGCCTTGCTGGAGGAAGTAGGCCCCTGAAGTCAGACCTTTCGTTTTTAGAGTTTGGCCTTACGTCCTGCCTAACGTGATCAGCTGTCCCATGCTCCTGCCACTGTGGGTCACTTACCTGGACCCTATCCCTTATAAAGCAGATGTCAAAACTCCCTTCCTTCCTGCATTGTGTTTGTCAGGTATTAAAAAAAAAAAGTAATGTCCCACAGAAAATTGTTGTCCCAGTGCTGGAAAACAAGAAGTTTCAGGTCAAGGTGCCAGCACAGCCACTGTCTGCTCCTCACTTGGAGGCACCTTCTATGTGTCCTCAGGGGAAGGGCAAAAATGCTTCCTCCCATGTCTTTGTATGTGCATAGATATGAGAGTATGGACCTGTATTGTGTATGTGTGCAGGCACATATGCAAGTGTGTGTGTGTGTGTGTGTGTGTGTGTGTGTGTGCCTGTGGGAGGGTATGCATTCACATGTGTTTGCAAGCTTGTCAAGACCAGAGGTCCACATTGTTTGATGGGACAGTTTGTCACTGGCCTGAACAAAAGCCGAGTAGGCTAGGCTGGGTGTCCAGCAAGCCCCAGAGATCCACCCTGTCCCCATCTCCATAATGCTTGGGATTCCAAGCCGCCATCCACAGCTTTTTACGTAGGTGCTGGGGGTCAAATTCAGGTCCTCAGGCTTGGGTGTATGACACTTTATTGACTGAGCTATCTCTCCCGTGCCCCTTCCATCTCTAATATAAAGACAGATTCCACACACAAGGGCAGAACCGCTATGGCTCAGTCGCTTGCTAAAAGGTTCACCTCTTAATACTCTTGCACTGGAGAGAACGTTGTCCATTCCCTATCGGCCTCCCTCAGAGCTGCGGCGTGCAGGCAGCTTGAAGAGTCCTGGCTCCCGGGCAAGAGAAGTGCGCCCCCTGCTGTCTCTCGCTACATGGTGAGGTGAGTGGGTAAGTCAAGTGTTTCTCAACCGTTCCTACAGTTCCTCATGTTGTGGTGACCCCCAGCCATAAAATTATTTCATTGCTACTTCATAACTGTAATTTTGCTACTGCTATCAGTTTTAAATATTTGATATGCAGGATTTCTGATAGGTGACTCCTGTGAAAGTGTCATTCAACACCCAAAGGGGTCAGGGACCACAGGCTGAGAAACTCTGGCTTAGGGGAACTCCCCGATATCCTGTTTTGACCTATAAGCGAGATGGGCAGGTAAGCCAGGTTGCTTTCCTCCTGGCTCCAGTTTGTTTATTTCTGAGACAGGGTCTCACTATGTATACCAGACTTTCCTTGAATTCTCAGTCTGCCTGTCTCAGCCTCCCGAATGAATGCCGGCTGAGTTTATGGGCCTATAACAATGCCTGGAATCTTCCTTCTAGTTCTGAATGACCAGGCAGACAGAGGTCTGTAAGGGTGAAAAGTCTTGCAGATGTGGAAGAAACCCAAGCGCAAAGGATGCCTAGATGCCTGATTTTAGAAGTAGGCCCCAGAGCTTTCTGCTTCCTCCTCTCATTAGCTCCCCTCCCCCAGCCTATTTGCTCAAGATTAAGTGAGACTTCAGTTGGCGGTTAAAGCTTCCAGCTGTTTTAAACTGGGGAAGAGGGGCATGGATGGGAGGAGGTGGAGGACATGGCTGAGCTTCCCCAGAACAGCACCCCGATCCAGTTGAGATGCTTGGAGGAAGGCATGGCAACGCTGTACTGAGGTGCACCAGATGGAATGGGCAGGCTGGGGGCATCTCTCATCTGCGCCGGGAGAGGTCCCATCAGGGGGTAAGGCTAGGGGTAGAAGACCAGCTTCTCTTTTTCCACATCTGGGACTTAGCTTGAACACAACTTTGCTTTTGCTAAATGAAAACTATCACGTGGGAAAGTTCTAAAGCTGTTGAAGTCTCCATACTTTGGGGGCAGACCTGCTAATGGGAGAAAAACTGCACATGGACACCCGGAAAGGCTCGGTTCAGGTCTTCACATCAGAAAAATTCAGCAAAAGCACAGAGTAGCAACAAACATCTATAATGACATAATCAACCCTTACTGCAGCAAAGAGGCTGTGCGGAGGAACCCATAATTTCTGTCTACTGGCATCTAGCCCTTTATGTAACTCCCTTCCCTTGAATGTAACTTGCTTGTAAATAACAGAATCTCAGTGTGAAACAGTGTTCAGCCAAACCCCAGAGAGGTACAACCTGGTAGCTATCTGCTAATATAGAA